TCAGCAGTGACTGGTCCTTCTGTGAGCTTAGTCTCTGGTGCTCTACACATAACCTGTTTTCCACAGAGGTAAAAACAAATGTGGCTGTTTTAAATGTCAGAAGCCTTGCTGGAAATTTTGAAGAGCTCTCTGGGTATCCAGGACTTACCCAGAGGCTCTTTGGAAGAAAATGCTTACAGTGCCGCCTTCAGCTGCCCCGCTTGGACATGCACTGCACACTGAGGAATAAAGCCAGGGCCTGAATCCATGCACATTTTACTAGATTAAGGTCACACAGTTAATGTGAAGGTAAATGAGTGTCTGTTTGAATAACATTTCCTTGACAGTATAATCCATGCCCTGCAGCTTCTAATTAGGTGCTGCTGTTTAAATTCATCACTAAGAACAGCAGAGAATCAGCACACGGACTGCAGAGGAACTGACAGGTCCTTTTAATGCTTTATCGAATAATGGGATTTGTCCTGCCTAAGAGGGTGACATGTTAGACACTCCCAATGATTTACCATCGACAACAGCCCTCCCACATTCACCCCATGTGCCCCTTCCCATCCAGTACGGCATGTAGGGCTGGCATGGCACGGCACGGCAGGGCACAACGCGGCACAGGCAGAATAGGGCTCACCTTTGCCATGCCCATCCTCGCACCATGCCACGCACAGTGCAGCAGATCTTTGCACAGGTCAGGGCAGACAGTACAACAATAACTGCTAACCTGCGGCTCACCTGGGCAAGCTTTTCTGCCTCAGATCCTGCTTTAGGTTTATTGTAAAGCTAACTCAGCTATCAGCAGTGATTTCAAATGGAAAATAAAACCAGATTCTTCCTGAAAAGCACTGCAGGATCTGCTGTTCCCCGTGCCGGGTGGTGGAGGGTGAGCCATGACCTTGGTCTCTGTGATGGATCGGAGCTGTTGGTGTGGGGTCCAGGCACTGCTCTTCACTGCTGTAGGGAGTTGCCCAACCTGCACTGGAGCAGGAGGGAGCAAGAGGAGCCCCAGCTGCCCTGTGTCCTCCCCAGCTCCTCTGCAGCACTCCCCGAATGCGAGGGGGCAAGTTTCAGTGAAACTGCCCATCCTCATCACGACTAATTGGCTGTCAGTGTCTGTATGGAGGCAACAAGGCAATGAGCTCTGCAGCCACCGGGATGCCAGCACGGACCTGCAGCATCTCACCTGAGCCCTGGCCGGGGCAGGGAGAAGGGGTCAGCCCACACCTCCTATCACTGACCTGCTGGCTTCAGCTGAAATGCTGCTCAAGGACAGGTGGATGATAGGATCAGTAACTATATATGTATTTACTGCCAAGCCTGTGTGTGGAGCTAAAGCTGTGTTTGGTTTCTGTGAGATACAGTGTTTGATGAGACTGCTGAGGGTGAGGGCTCAACAATCCACCCAGAGCAGCTCCTTTATGGGCATGAATATCCCCACGCAATCACCCACGATCCATCCATTCCTGCAAATGTCATGCAAAGGGGAGTCCAGCTCCTGTTAGCCAGTGGCTCCGGCTTGTGGCAGAGACACCCTGGATAAATGGAAGTGCTCATCTCCTGCCTCACTCTGCTGAGCCAGCCCAATGCCAGGTAGAGTTTCGACGGGGTCCAACTCGTTCCCCAGGCACTGTCACCGGACAGAAGGTCCAGCAGCTCCATTTTCCAGAGGCCAGGCTGCAGGGTAAGAATAATAGCCCTTGTCACTCCATATAGCCCTGTTATTGGAGATATTTAGTGCTAAGGTTGGGCCACGGGGCTAATATCTGGGATGTGATAATGTTGCTCCCTGCATGAGTGAGCAGGACATCGATTGCGGGCTGTCAGGCGGCAGCCTGCCCCTCAGACACCGCCTGCGCCGGGCAGCACCCCACACACGGCATCATCCAACACTGCTCGCATGGCATGCACGCTGCCCCTCAATACAGCATCCCTTAGTACTCTCAAATGCCCCTCTACTGCTGCAGAAAGCATTCAGGATTTTTGCTTTCTGCACATCAAGGGCCATCATGAGTGACTGCTTCACTGACTGATGTAGAGCTCAATTGCAGTTACTGAATACAACTGGTTCCCAGCCTGGTTACGGGCATCTCCCTTCCTCGGTGCCCCTCAAGCTCCTGTCACTTTTGCCTTGCTGCTGCAGGCTGCAGATGAGCAGAAGGGACTGTTTTAAAAGAAAGCAATACCCCAAGCCTATCCACCCCACTGCACGTAGCCAAGCCGTGAACAGGGAATTAATGCCTCCCTGGCATCTAAGTGCATGGTGGGGGCTCCGCCACTTGCAGGGTTGTGCTGATGGCGGCTGCCGCACCAGGCAGCCCCCCGGGACGAAGCACAGGCATGGCCAGCCACGGCGGCTCCTCCCCAGCACGTCCCCTGCGCGGCACCAGCACCAGCCATGGTGTGCACCCCGCCCCTTGCTTCACCCTGGCATCTTTGGGAGCTACTGCACTCTCCCACAGGGCAACACGGCACCTGTGCAGAAATGAGGCAAACAGCACCTTCCTCTCGTGGGAAAGGCCACTGACCCTGCTGGGCTGCGAGCAGGGCTCTGTGTGCGTGGCTGCACCGGGGAGAACAGCAACCACCTACAACAGATGGGCACAACACCAAGCATCCCTCCGTATGGACGATCACCGTGAATTTCGTAGACACAATTTCTGGGTAAGTGGGTGCAGGATGCCGTTGGACAGCGTGGTTTCCAAAAGCAGGTATTCTTCCTGGCTGAGGCTGGTGGCAGTCGCTCCGACATGGCTGCGACCTCCCCAGCACTACGGCCCATGCCGTGCCCAGCCCTGCACCAGCCCTCCCCACCCATGCACAAATGCATCCTAAGCGGGACAGGACCATGGGTGACAAAGCCACAGCAATACCTGCCTTCCGCAGCCACTGGACAAGGAGGTGACATCCCACTTTATGCATCCCTGGGTTCCCACACCCCCTCCCAGTGGCAGATGTGGGACTGGCGGGACGTTTGCTCAGCCCCACCACAGCCCAAGGATTGACCCTCGCCATGGTGCGTCCAGCTGGATGGGGAGGCTGTATTCCCACTCACTGGTCTCCAAATTATCCACTGCCCCGATGTCCTCTAGCCTCAGCAGGGATGCAGAATCCCTGGGGTCTCGGGGACCCCCTCAACCATCCCTCATCAACACAGACCTGGCAGCCAACCTCTGACCAGGGACCTTCTTCAGACACCATCTGGGTGCCACAGAGCTACCATCACCCACCATGCAAGAGGCACAAGCAGCGACTCCACACAAAGACACATTTGGGACAACTTTACTTCTGATACCAGAGTGCAGGCTTTCTTTACAGGAACCAAAAAAGAACATATTTTTTTTTTTTTTAAAAAATGGTTCATTTACTCTTGCTATTTTTTTTTTTACCATTTCATTTTTAAAAAAAAAGTTACTCCTGAAAGCCATCGCTTGTAATAAATTTATAAGCCAGTGCACTTTGTTTTTTCCCTTGTGTTCACTCCTCTGAAGGCAGCAAGCTCTTCCCGCTGCTGCCCTGTGCAGGTCTGCGAGGCGGGGATGGGGCGCCCCAGCAGGTCAGCACCCCAAGGATCCATCCCAGGGGCTGGGGCAGCAGCCTCCCCTGGCCCGGGGCCCAGCCAGGGTCCCCACCGCTGCACAGCTCCTGGTTTTCCGCACAGTCCCTGCGCTCCTTGAGTAAGCGGCAGTTCGTCTCCCTTGTCGGGTGTAGGAGCTGGGAGGCCATCATGGGACACGCTGGGAATCCTCGTGGTGCCTCGCAGAGAGGCTGTCCCAAGAGAGCACTTTGCCCTTAGAGAGTCGTGTAAACATCCCTGCAAGGATGCAGGCGCTGGTAGGATGCCCGCTGCCCCAGCGGAAGGGATGCACAGCAGGGCCACCCTTACGGAGCCACTTCTAAAGTGACAGTGTTCAATTTTTTAATTGTCTATTTGTTCATCTGCTTTTTGTTGCAGGAGCAGTTTTCAGATTGACTGAAAATTAAGTAGCTCTTTTTTTTTTTTTTTATGGAACAGTTGCTCAGGTAAAAGAGGGCCCTGAACAATCTTTAGAGTAGAAAGGGGCAGCCTTGCCATGCAAAGAGGAAGAGTTATTGTTTTTATTATTATTATCATTATTATTATTATAATGTAGGATGACAGACAGCCTCTCTCTGAAGCAGTCAGGTGATAACAGCAATATATGGTTGGATTCTTTTTTAGAAGGTCATAAATTAGCAACTTATACGTTATCTTTAAAAAAATCAAATAAATAAAGAGAGAGAGAGAGAGACAGTCACAACATGCAAGAGCTTACAACAAACAGAACAAGTAAAAATGACCAAAGCAAAAGACAAGAAATGCAGAAGAAAAGCCCAGGTTCAATTTGGTTTGCAATCAATGCAGTTTGGAAGCATCATTTACAAAGGTATTTCATATACCAAAAAAGGCACCACAGTATCTACAAAGCCAAATCCTCAGGAGAGTTTCTGTGGGGTAGGGGGAAGGTAGGAGCCTGGCTACAGCAGACACATCTCTGTGCGCAGCAGATCCCCCCTTATAAGCTTGTCCATTGCAAATCTGAACTTTTCCATTTTACATTTGGTTTTGCTGTCTCTGTTGGTGAAAACACAAAATAATAATAATAAAAAGACAAAGGTGAAAAATGGCAGAGGGGATGACATTCTGATCTTGCAACATAACAGGTGGAATATTTCTAGGACCAAGTTTAAAGCAATCAGAGCGGGACTGCTGTAACTAGAGCCCCTGAAGGGCAGTGTGTGCCCCCGCACACACCGCACGCCCCCCTCCCTGTCTCCTCCCCAGCCGACTGCTGACAGCCCACACTGCCGCATCACCATGCTCATCCATCTGCAGACAGTTACAGCCACCCCAGTGCCGCCTGGGGACACCGGGATAGCAAAAACCTAACACCTCCCCAGCTGCCCCACGTTACATCTTAGCTCTCAACACATAAATAAAGAGAAATCTGGTGTCTGCTGGCTGTGCCCCGCACTGCCCCAGGTGCCAGGGGGTGCAGGAGTGCTCGCCTCTGCACAACTGCTATCTGCAGAGCATAACTGAACAAAGGAATAGGAAGGAAAAGGAAAAAAAAAAGAAAGAAAGAAAAGAAACATTTGAAATCTTGTGTTTACTAGTATTCAGTACATGAGATTCCTAAAGAACAACTTGTCCTCCTAGTTAACCTTGTCCTGGAATATATACAGGTTATTTGTTGCTGCCACGGCAATGATATTCTCGGAGGGGTGCCAAGCTGTATGCAGGATCTTTTTGCTAAAGTCCAGACTGTCCACGCTAATTTCGTCTTTCCTCCGCTTGCCGCCCACACAGACCTTGCGGGGCTTGAGGATGGCGCGGGGTTTGCTGTTCTCCCGCGAGGCCTCCAGTGTCACGTCGCGCTTGGTGTTGCGGTCGAACATGCGGAAGAAGTTGTTGTAGGAGCCGGTCATGATGACGCTGCGAGGAGGGAAGAAGGACAGGTCACTGTGCGTGGCCCCGGCCCCCGCCACCCACCCAGCTGCGATACCCCAGACCTGCCCAGCACAGGCCCCACAGGACATGGGGGCACAACCAAGATGCCAGGCAGCTTGTGCCCCCTCCTGCACCAAAAGGCTCAGGCTCTGCCAGTGAAGCCATGTCGCTGTGTCCTTCTCCTTAACCCAGGGAACGTGCATGGGAGAGGCAATTCCTTTCAGGATAACAATGCGTACAGAGATCAGTCTTTATGGTGACTATTTAGCTGACCTGAACTGAATGATTTTTCACACCTTTTTAGGGGCAAACTGCCTCGTGACTAGAGGCAGAATGAATATCCAGAGGCATAATGAGATTTGGATTAGATTTGGAATTTCGGCTTCAGACCCAGTTGTGCCTCATTAACTTGCTCTGATGGTTCAGAGGAAGAAATGTGGCAATCCTGCCATGTCAACTGGTCTTGCATGCTTTCTGCCACCTGGTTCAGTGTGCTTGATGCGTGGGTAGTTGTCATCCCCAGATTTGGGCAATCGGGAGCGAAACGCATCACCACCCTCCTCCAGGTGTGGGTGAAATGGAGACAGGAACCAAACCCGTCCAGGGGAGAGATGGGACCCCATCAGACACCCTCAGCAGCGCTTGGGTACGGGGCTGTGCGTTCAGGTGATCCCTGTTGTACCCACATGAAACTCTCCAGACCTGGCACCCAGCCAAAGGCCGGGGAAGGCACCACAGGGGGGACATGGGACTCACTGGGCCATCCCAAAGCGTGCACCCTCTGGGCCAAACTCAGCACCCGCAGGGCTGGGTGCTGGGGTGGAACTGTGCTGCCGAACTGCTCACCTGTCAGACCCGTTCCAGACACACTCGAACTTGTCGAAGATGCAGTCATTCTCGTAGAGCGAGCAGAGCTTGCTCCGCAGGTAGTCGTGAACCTGCCGGCAGGGAGGGATGGGGCATGAGGCCACAACACCGACTGGCACAGCCCAGCGGCCGGCAAATGCCAGTGGCTGAAGGACCCAGCCCAGCCCCATGCTCTTCACAGCCAGGCCAGGCAGCGTTGGCACGGCCTGTTATTGTATGCCCCTTGCCCATGGCCACCTTTTCACTGTAAGCAGCAGCACCAGCACTGCTCCACGTGTGGCTCGGGCAGCACCGGCCAGCACCAGGGCACGTCCCCTGGCAGAGGGTGGCAACGACTGCTGGTCTGCCCTGATGCTTGCCTCCCACGCTGGCTGCCGGCACCTGAGCTTCCCCTCCTCACCGACACCCAACCTGGGGATAGGGGTTACAATTCACCAGGCCACTCGAGCCCACATTTAAGAGTTCTTCGTTTGCTTTCTGTGATTTAATGGCATGACGCTCCCATCCATCAGGTTTGTACCCATCCCCTCTGCCACCGGCCCAGGAGCCCGGCTTGGGCAGGAGCACTGTGGGTGCCCAACTGCTGCAGGTGCCCGGCTGTGCCACACTCACCTGGTAGGTCTCGATGGGCCGGTTCTCCATGTTCAGGTCCCACACCTTGACAGTGAGATAGTCCCGGGTCATGATATACCTCCCACTGTGGCTGAATTTGACATCGGAGATTGAGGAGATGATCTCAGAAAAAAACGACCGGTTACTTGGGTCTTCAGGCTCTTCGAAAACTGCAGAAGAGGAAGAGACAAGACCCAGCATCAGCCGATGGGCAGGCTGCCCCAGCACTGCAGGATGCTCCTGGGAGGAGAGCGGGCATCCCCGGAGCCACGCTGCTACACGGCAAAGGAGGCTCCAGTTTGGCTGTGGAGACCTACAGGCAGCACCAAGCCAGTGTCCTGGGGCAGCCACCACCAACACCCAAATGCTCTCCGGCCCCGGGGCCGCCTGCCCTGCTGTGCCGAGCAGAGGCACCTGTGTCCCCACAGCAGGCTGGGTGAACGCTCCCCACTTCTGGGTTGGGCGCAGACCAGACAAATGCCTGTATTTTAAGGACCTGGGACAACTGAAGCTCCTTTGTTTTTAAAGCATGCAATAAGCAACAGCACCACAGAAGCCCAGAAGATTTAGAGCCTTGCACGTCACTTCTGCTCTCCACAAATCAATGTGCAGTGTAACTGAACATCAATGTAAATATTTTATAGCCACTGCAACCTACAGTTTTAATCAGATCAGTCTTTGAATAAATCACAGTTTGAACAGTTTGAGGGAGACCGATGAAGTTCCAAATCAAATGTATTTACAAATTTGATTTCAAAGTAACATCAGCTGGGCAAGTATGGCTTTAAAAACAGAGATGCATCAAGAGAGATGCTGCCGATGCAGGGACATCTGTCCAGCCTCCTCTTCCCACGTCTACAGACAGCTCTCCAGCGCAGCATTAAAGGATACTGCTGGGTAACACGGATAAGCTTGCATTGCTTCACTCCTTTACTGGAGAAAAATCCAGTCGCCAGCTGCGTTTGTCCGACCCTTGTCCCCAGTGCCGAGGCTCTGCTACAAACCCTCCACCACGGCGGCTGTTGGCTCCAATTCACCGGCGACCAGAACAGGGAATGTGCCAGCAGCCGGCCTGGCCGCTCCGCGCCCCAGAGGCAGCGTGCCCTGCACAATGCCACACCGAGCACAGTGTTTGCTCAGGTTTATCATCCCCTTGCTGAGCCATGTGGTACCAGCGCCTGAACTCCTGAATACGGCAGAAAAAATGCCTGAAGTGCCAGGATAAATGATCTCTCTACAAATCAGAAATGGCATTGCCCACAGCAGGACCCAGCTCTGGGTCCTTTAATCACCACCAGGAAATCTGATGACACGTCAGGTTTTTTAAATAAGAGAAGTGACAGCGACAAGAGAAAATAAAGATCTGAGGCAGTCTGTGGAGAGCATCTGAATGCCACGACTTGTCTTTGCTGTAATCATCACAGGTTTGCTCACACCAGGTTGGCTGGCTTCATGAGGCTTGTTTTAATGGCTACATCATTTCCGTCACGGATGCATGTATGCGAGCTTATATCAAGGCTGGAGGTGTTCAGTTTATAGTACGGGGGCAAGAGGAAATTGTTGCTGATACAGCAGAAGTAGAAAATGCTAAATTACAGATCAACTATCAAACAGGAAAGGCCTCAGAGAATGAACCCAAGAGCTGAGGCAGCACCGAGACAAGTCAGCAAGGGTGCGGTGACTGCGGTAGGAAGAGGGGCAGGAACAGCTCTCTGACACCAGGTACCACATCCCCCTAGGAACGTTCCCACTGGCACGGCATCACATCTGCTCCCCAGCAGCACCCTGCTGCTCCCTCCTCCGGCAATTCCCCGTCCTCCGGGTCCTGCCTGAGCAGCAGCGGAGCTCATCCGTCCCCTTGTGCCTGTGGGGGAACTGGCACTGAGGAGTGCGGGCTGCAGCAATGCCCAGGAAGGGACTGGGGCAGGGTTGAAGCATCAGCCCCAGCCCAGCGGGAGAGCAAGGGGGTCCCGTGCAGCACCTCCTCTGTGCTGAGGAACTTGTGCACAGGGCGAGAAGGCAGGATCCAGCCCTGCACCGAGTCTAGTGCAGGATCCAGCCGTGCACAACAGAGTCCAGCGCAGGATCCAGTCCTGTATGCCGTCCAGTGCAGAGGAGCCATCGATGACTTAAAATTCAGAGCAGCTAAGAGGTGAAGTCTGGCAGGCATTAACTGCATTTTCCCTGCCCTGGTCACCTTGCTGGCCGTACTAGGGCTTTGATACTGGAAAGCAAAAACCAGACCAACCAATGCAGAGAGCAATCATTCAAACGACACTTCTGGAGGTGATCTTCCCAAGCTGCTGCCTCCACACTTGCCCTGCACTGGAGCACCCCTCGGCCAGAGGGATCCTCTGTCGGGGCAGTTTCAAAGCAAATGGCTTTTTTTTACTCAACAATAAATTTAACACCAAGTTCTGTCTTTTCTTGCTCCTCATTTAAACTCTAATCATGACAATTAGCAATGTAGACTGGAAAACGAAAGCACAGCAAAGCTGCACTGCACCATCACCAAGCCCAGGCTGGGGCCGTGGCTGTCACTCAGGTCCCTCTCTGGGCTCAGTGTCACCTCTCAGCTCAGCCCCAACACTCACCCTGTTAGAAGCAAATGATTCAGCAGGTGGAAGTTTTGATTTCAGATGAAGACAGGAGAGTGTTGCAAAGGCAAAGAAGTTTCCTGCTTTGCTAAATGAGCTCAGGGTGGCACAAGAGGCTTGTTCTTCACTCCCCTGGAGATTTTGCACAACCGACTAGTTAATTCATAGCTTGAGGTCTTGCCAGGCCTATTATTCTGTGCATCAGGACACCCTTAACTCCTGCGAGGGGTTGGAGGAAGGAGATGATTAGTTTCTGTGGGTGACACTACCAGCTCAACTCTGTTCCAGCCAAAACTTGGGACAATGAGAGCTCAGCTCAGCTCACCCCGCAGAGTCCCAGTGCTGGCTTTGTCTACACAAAGAAGTGAGTTTTCTAACAGGTAATCAGATCTCTGTGCTCTACTTCTATAACCTTTTTCCTCTATAAAAGGCTTAGCTGAAAAAAATAGGTAAAGAGAACATGATGTTAGCAGGAACATGGGAATAAATGTGTTTTGTTGGAGCCTGGTTTGGATTTGCAGAGTTGGCACTCTTTAGTTTCATCCCTGTCTGTCCCAATGGTGTGCAGCAGCCCAGGATACATGGCTCAGAGCCTCTCCTCCGAGCTGGCAAAGGTGATTTCCAGGGGAAGAGGCCAAGCCTCTTCAGGTGTTTAGAGAAAACCAGCTAGCCAAGCAGCAGAGTCACCTACTGGCAAGGCCAGACCATCACCTGGAGGGACGTTGAGCATGTCAAGTCAGGGCAGGCAGTTGCTGCGGGAAAACCCTCTGCTCAGCCACAGCACTCTGCAGACAACAGCAGCACTGGGAGCATTTCCCCAGACCCACACGCCTAGGTTGGAGAAGTTAGTTTAGTCCAGATGTGGCTATTTTCCCTTGTACTCTCCTCTCTGGAAAGACAGAGCTAGCAAAGCCCAGCTCCCCTCTCTCTTCTCTTCCCCTCTTCTGTGCATCCTGAGTTTCAGGTTGCACCAGATGACCAGCTGCATTAAGTGACCTGCCAGATAAAAGGACTTTGGATCAATCAATCCGAGCTCTGCTTGAGCAGGCAAGTCCTACACGGTAGTTACTCCCTGCTGAGCTTTTGGGGTGTTACCAGGACTGGCCACCAGCAAGCATGCTGTGGGTTTAACCGGTGGCTGTGTTTCAGCACGGGTCCGTATTAACCTGTATGAGACAAATCTCCTCTGACAGAGCACCGGCATGGGCAAAGCCACATTGCCATCTCTGCTGGGCTCTGGCTCTCCTGTGCTGCCTCCTGCGTGCTGCTGCCTGTGCCGCGGGGTCCCTCGCACACCCCGCACGGTGCCCACCCTCGGGCAGCACCTGCAGGTCAGGGAGCGAGGGGGCCTCTGGCCTGGGGGCTGCACATCGCTCACGTGTGCAAGGTGGCCCGTCTGCCCTGTGCACTAAAAGTGATGGAGCGTGTAAGCCCCGGACAAGGCACCTGACCCCTCTGGATTTCAGCCGAGGCTCCAGTTAATCTGGTAATAAACAGGGCCCCAGTGGAAACCTGGAAGCACAGTGGAGCAGTGCTTGCATGGGCAAATACATTAGCCGTCTGCTTCTTCTCTTGCTTCAAATAAAAAGTCAAAACTCCACCGATAGTTCACCTAAGCACAAAATTAATCACGATCATCACTGAGGAAAAGCTAAGCTAGCAGAAGCAGAGAACTGAGCTTTGCTTTATATTGGAAAAAATCAACTCTGCAATCTGCTTTCAGCCCAGAGGTGCAGGAGCCTTGCAACCATGGGCTAAGGAGCAGAAATTACTAGTCTGGTGCCAATTTTCCCCATGAACTTGAGTGATTCACTTTTCTGCCTCATTCTTCCTATCTGTAGTGAGGCAACAAAATGTGTTCCTCTTCCTCACAGATGAGGTACAGATTAACAAAGTGCTTTTGGCAGCGTACTCTGAGCACCAACTCAGGCCCTGGCAGCCCCGAGGCAGGATGGGGGGGAGCTGCTGTCTGCGGAGTGGCTGGACCCTGCTGTCCCCAGACCCTGCCAGCACCATCCCCACGGCCTCCAGGCAGCAGGACCACAGCCGCCCGCTCCTCCATGGGATGCCTGGACTCTCTCTGGTCCTGGCACTGGGAGCAGCAGGGCTCTGCCAGGACTGGGGTCACAGCAGACAGGCAGTGCCCCCCAGTCCCCAACAGCAGAGTGGAGTGGGTCTGAGAACCAAAGCGTGCAGCTGGGCAGGGCAGGGGCTCGGGAGAGCTATTTTTGCTTCCCGGCTGAAGGCTTTTGTGTGGCTTTGCTCCTGCCACAGAAGCAGATCTCGGCTGCTGAGCTTACGGAAAGGATTTCTGAGCACTAATTCTCTGTTACACAACAAATCTATTTTCCCTTGACATTGCGCAGGAGCTGCCCCCCCCACGCTGGCTCCCCCTGCCAGTCCTCCTTCCCCAGCAGCCTATCCCCGTGAGGACACAGACCAAACAAAACCCCGAGATGGCCAAGAAGGGCTGCATGGCCCACGAGGTGATCCTGCTCCTCAGGGAGACCAGCAGCCTTTCCGCCACGTGCTTGGAAAGCCGCAGCGATGCAGAGTCTGGCTGGGTCTTCCTCACTGGGGCTCCCCCAAAAGGCAGCAGTGCCTGCCCAAATACAAGGCCTGTTTTAGAAATACTGCAATATTGGAGGGTAAAATCTGTAAGCTGTCAGTTACCCTATCAAAGCTGCTTTGTGTGCTTCTTATTTCTAACCAAAGCTGAAACTTTTTTCAGCAAAGAATAAATGCTTGGTAGTGTTGCTGTAAGGCAGTCAGCAGTGACAAGACAAGGCGGCAAAGGTCCCCCTTTGGGAAATGGGCTGTACTTTGAGCCTTTTTTTTCAGGAGTTCGGTAGGTACAATCACAAGTGGCTCCTTAAAAAATAAAAGTGGAAAGCCCAATGCCTTTTGCTACGGGGAAATAACTGTAGTAACCCCCAACAGGGTTTTTCCTCACTTTCCCATATGCTTTTCAAACAGGATTACTTTTGCCGGTGTTGCCAGCTGCTGCAGGAATCCTGATCTCCTGTGGTCCTTCAGACAACGCACGCAACTTCTTTGCGCATGGTGTGCCCCTCGCAGGACCACTGCCCCTCAGTGTTGTAGCACATGCATCTTCACACCCCTGCGGAGCAGGCATTTCTATATGGAAGCTGATGTTCTCTCTTAGGCCAGCTACACGGCTGGAGGTAACACACACAATGTCACAGATCTCAACAGCCTCAAATAAAATGGGCAAACAAAATTTAATAAGAGAAGCACATAAGTAAAAGCTGGCCCCGAGCAGCAAACTGCATCTATCTAAATAAACATGACTGGGATGTGCAGTGCTATCTTCTGCATTTTTATTAAATATTGACAGTTATTAAATGTGTCCATTGGAGGATTCGCCTCCAAAAGCCAATGTTGCTTTTCATTTTGAACTTTGATGAACCGTCTCAATTTCGACTCACACATCTGCTGAACTGCAATTGACTGAGGCTGATGCTTCTGAGGGATGGAGGGAAATCAATAAGGAAATGTCACGGGAGAGGTCAAACCAAGCCGGGATTCACCGCTGGCCGGTGTGCTCACCAAGGGCTGGAGACATGCAGCAGTACCCAAACAAAGGGAAATGCCGGGGCTTGGGTGGGGGGCAGTTCTGCCACTGAAGTGTCAGGAAAATGAATTTTGTTTGCTCCTTAATTGTATTCTGATTCTCAGCTGGGAGCCGTCACTGTAGGATGGCGAGACACAGTTGGGAAATGCAAGAATAGAAAGGTGTGTTTTGCTCAGGATTTGGGAAAACTGCCATTCGATCTTTCCAAATCTCCAGTCAGCAATGTAAGCTTTCCTCTCCACTCACTTTACTCCACTTTAAAAACAGGTATCAGACTGCAACCGCAACTCAAAAGCCCAGAAGCAATAGCTGTCATGTAATTCCCTATCACCTCTAGGAAACCTAAATCTGAAACACACCGAAGTGCTCTCTGGATGTAGATTTAACTTCCCACAAGGTATTGGCCATTTTCTGAAGAAAACTCAAACAAGAACAGGAGATACAGGGGTTCAGCTGTCCAGTCACACAGCACAGCAGCCCTTGTTTCTGCCATATTTCACTGTCTTTAAGGGAGATACTGAACTCCTTTAGGTCTGTACTATCTTTGTGTCTTAGTTACAACACTGTGCTCAGCACAGAGCTGCCTTCCAGGCACTGCTAGGCCACAAAGAACAGCAACAGGTATTCACCAGCCCACCCATAAATGCTGTAGGTGTTTGTGCTGGTATTTTACTGAGCAGTTGCTGATAGGGCAAATATTTCCAGTAATGACCTCCTGCCACGTACAGGCTGAGCAGGAAGCAAGCTTAGCTGGCTGCCTCAGCAGCAGCTCACTCATCGCTTCAGCCTGGGGAGGACCAACGACAAGCTCCCTAGCTGCCCAGCTTACTCCAAATTTTGAGGGGGCTTTTCTGCACATCCTGACCACTGCAGCATCAACCACAGTTGACAACAGGACATGAGACTATTTGGACAAACAGCTTGAAGAAACACAGCACTCCCTATCTTCTGGCATTGGCAGCTCCATAGTCGCTGTGCACCAACATCCCAGTGACGCCTTGGATCCACTGCTTCCAAAACATCACCGTGTGGTTTTTAACATGCTCCCCCAAAGGGCATGGGGACCGAGGGAAAGCTGCTCCTTTTGGGGACAGGCAGGACAGAGGGCAGGTGGCCATGGGAATGCCCAGGGGCAGACAGGACCATAGCCCAGCACACCCAGAGAGAGGATGGGGCAAGGTGGCAGGGCAGACCTGAGCCCAGGTCGGTCTCCGCACCCCCTTTTTTGGGCTCTTTTAACCCAAAGGAGACCCCCTCCCAGCTGTCCTACTGGCAGGGGCTGTACTCACACTTGGCGTGGCGGTCGCAGAGGGCAGAGGTGCGCATGTCACACAGCCGGATGGTGCCTTTGCTGCTGCTGTAGACAAAGGTGTTGCAGTGGTGCGGGTGGAACTCAGCGGCCGTGATCACCTCCGTCAGCTCCTCCATGTTGGCTGGCTTGATGTCCACAATGTCTGGCAGGGCAAGTCAAGGAGCCCCACGTAGTCTGGCCCAGACCCCGCTCCTCCCGTGGGGTCTCCTCCCGCTGCTCCTCCTGCTGATGTCTCTGGGCACCTGGGCCTCCCCTCGCCCTGTGCAAACCAGGTGTTCCCAGGAGAGCAGCACCGTCCTGGGGCAGAACCGCAGCGCTAAGCCAGGACCAGTCAGTGCTAGCGCAGGGGAAAGCTAACGTCCATCACATTTTCTGTTCAGCCAGGGACCACGGCTCTGGTGCCACAGCCTGGAGCATGGCATGAGACCCAACTCTGCCCATTTGTCCTGGGCCAGAGTAAACATCTTTTACTGCAGCGTCAGGGCACAGTGAGTAACCACACTGAAAACAATATGGGGGGAAACAAAAGCCAGAGCATGACAACCAACAGAAAACTACCACAGCCCAGGGGTGGCTGGTGGGATGGGACATCTCGCTGGTGGTGACGTTTCTCCATCAATTCTTAGCAAGCGTTTTGGGTGCTGCACTTGCACCTTAGCCAAATTCCCTTGGGCCATATAAACTCCCTGAGCTTTTATCCAAACTTAGTACTCCTCACTTTCTTCCTGAAACACAACACACATTGCAGCCCTGCTCAACCGTACCCACTTCGAGCTCCCACCAGCCACATGCCTGTGACTGCTGAAATCCTCTCCAGCTACCTAAATTTGCCACATGCCCTGGGGATTTCACAGTAGGAAACACTATATAAATATCACCGATGATTACTGCCCCGTTGTTATTATTTCTGATGTGGCTGTTACAAGGGTGACTGGCACGACCTCATTTGTACAACTGTGACTGGCAGCCTGTCACCCTGCTGCAGGGTATAATGGAGACTGCACGATTAATATTTCCTCTCTCCGTCTTCCCCAAGGCATCTGTCTTCTCCATCACCCATGGACCCCACCCCCCCGCCTGCCCCATGCAGACGCTGCAGGCAAAATTCAAAAATGTGTCACCCACACTGGGAGGCAGCAGTCGCGATGATGCCAGCTGAGCCCTGAGCCACAGAGGGAGTGGCTTGGGTGTGACAGCGAATGTGCCTGCCAGAGACATCCCGGTGTCCCACCAGTGGCATGGCTCAGCCCGGCAGCACAGGCAGAGATGAGAGGGAAGCGCCTTGGTAATGACACCTGGGGACTGGGGATTTCAGAAGTTCTGTAGTTGGATGCATGGCAGACAGCACTATTTTGTGCTCCTGAGCCCCTGCAAGCCTTTGCCAGAGGGTAAAGCTCCTGTACTGAGGAACTGTGATCAGGGTGCGGGGACGGGGCCAGGCAAGATGCTGCACTACCTGCTTGGTCACCAACACAGCAGACACAGGCATGGCTCTGCTGCGTCCCGCAGAGCCTGACCTCGCAGGTCCCTCCTCCACCGCGGACTTGTCTCCCCGTCCAGCTTTTTCATTCTCCCACTGACATTTGCACATGTCAGGGGTCCCAAGGCTCTTACATCCCACTTGCCAGACGAGGCACCTCCCTTATTGCTGCTCTTGGCCGGGCTGGGACCGTCCCAGGGGCCGCAGGGCACCGCGCGCCAAAGGATACTAAAACTTTGATTTGTGATTTCAAAGTTCCACAGGTTTATCCTCAGATCGTCTGCCGACATGTAGGTCTCGTAGTCGCTGTTGACGGAGATGGAGTTGATGTGATAGGTGTGCGCATTGGCAAACACCCTCCGGGGGGTGGCCTCCACCATCAGGTCCATGGGCCGGAGCACGGGTACCTGTGGGATGGGAAGCAGAGCGTCACCACCCAGGGGCACCCCAGTGGGATGCCAGCATCCAGCACTGGGGGGGATGCCCCCACGGACACAGTGGGCACCCATGCAGCTCTGGCTGGCAGTGCTCCATCCCACCCTCCATGCTCTCACCAAGGAAACCTGATGCCTTTCTAAGTGTATGAACAGAAGGACAAGCAGACACGAAAGCCTTTTACTTTTGAAAGAGGCACCAGTATGGTTAGATTGCAGCAAGGGAGCGAGAGCCCAGTAAATGAGGCTTGGATCTCTGCTGCAGCAACTGTTCCTTCTTTGAAAAAAAAGTAACACCCACTTCTGCCTTGTTTTGTCACTGTTAACTGGAGTCTGAAATTCCTGGAGTATTTCTGACAGAAATATATTTCTTGAGAGAGCCAGGTCAGCATAGATTTTTCTTTTAACTTCTTGCATTTGCTTCACAGTGAAGTGAAGGAGGTAAGAGATGAAAAGAGACAGGAAAGGGAACACACAGGGAAGGGACAGATGGAGGGACTAGAAACAGAGCTACACATGTTTGCCTTTAGATTAATAAGCATAACTCATGTAAACATCAGGGGATGGAGAGATGCAGTAAGAATAGTGTATGCAAGGAGCAATGTAATAACTTCAGGCATAACGCTCTTAAGGCAACTTAATACACTAGAAAGGTGTCAGTCTGTGCTCCCGTTTGCCAGCAAGCTATTCCCTCAAGCTACTTCATTACTGTGTGTATTATCTGTGTGCTGCCCAAAGAGATTTCCCATGGCTGCAGAGGTGGGGACAGGAGTGTGACAGCCAGCTCGAGTGACACTAGAGCACAGGGACTGCCAGCTCAGAGCCTGAGCTTAATGTGACGAGCCTGCCTGCTAATTCAGCCTGACACAGTCAATGATGCATCATTTGCCGCTGAAGGACTCTGCTCAGCCATCTGGGGATGGAGGCTCGCATTTTGCTCAGGGATTACAGGAACCGAGTTGTCATTCAGACTGTCAGAAACACAACAGTTGTGCAAAGGGAAAGGGTTCAATGGTTACACCAGGCCTCCCTGGGCACAAAAATAAGTACAGCAAAGACTTTGGCAGAGGACTTCACTCAGCGAGATGATGCTGCGCGGCCCGACGGCACCTCGCGGTCAAACCCCAGGCCAGTCCCCGTCCCCGGCAGGAGCCCAGCAGCACGCACTGCAGTGCGCAGCAATCAGAGCAGTCCGGGTCTGAGCCAGAGCAGCGTGGCCATCTGCAACTTCCAGTGCCCCAGCACAATTCCTTACCCAATTTTCATATGGCAGCTACTCACAACCACAGAGCTAAGATAAACTCTTCAGCTAAGAAAATTCTCCAGATGTTACTTCAGACCCAAATTCTGAGGAGTTTTTTATCTCTGGAACTTGGTCCATCACCAGGTAAAACCCCACAGGAGGAACAAACCTGGTCATCCGTGAGTATTTGGTTAAGGCAGGATTTTTTATCTGCTATGGTGGCAAGAATCTGCACTGGACTATGGAAAACAGCAAGTGTCCATGTCCCTTCTCACCATGTGCCGCGAGCTCATGCTTAAGGGTATCAATAATAAGTATTTAAACCTGAAAACACTGACATTTTGAGGCAGGAGCAGCCAGGAATGCGCTGGAAGCACACACCGGCTTGGGGATCTTGTCCCACGACAGCAGAAATCTTGCAGCGGACGGCAAACCCTGTCTCAGGATGGCCATGGGGAGCAGCTGCCCAGCGCAGGCTGTGCCCTTGCCTGGGCTTAGTCTCTGCTCCGCTGAAGTCTGCCCTGAAGCCGGCTGGGAACACCACCACCACGGGGGAGGCCGACGCGAGTCCGTGCCGACGGCTCAACCCCGGTGCCGGCACTGACGCGCGCCCTCGCCAACACGCAAACCACAGGCAGAGAAGAGCCGTCCGTCTCCCTCATCCCGCTCGCCACCACGGGACTGTTCTTTGCTGCATCTTTCCTAGTGCGCTGCCTGGTATCCAGCAATGTAACTCCCAGTGCCCCAGGGACCCATTCCAGCGGCTGACAGACACCTGCATTACATTTCTGCTTAACGTCTAATAAAGGAAAAGAAAGGGTGGTCTCAGGGAACACCCCGCGGACTGCTCCGGGTGCCACAGCCACGCCATCCAGAGCCCAGCTGGGCAGGCAGGGAGCGGCTCAGGATGGCAATGGTCAGTGATGGTGAAGAGAAAGCGCCCAACAAATGGGGCAATGTGACAGCAACTGAAACTTCGGTTTGGTTTTTTTTTTGAAGCATGCAGAGTCCAAGCCAGTGTCTGCCTAAACCACCCAGCTCCCACCAGCATTGCCATGGCAATCCTCTACAGCACAGAGACCTCCTCAGTGCATCCCTTCTTCAATTACAGAGCCAACCTGCAGGGCAGGCTCTGGTATTATATATACCCATTATTAAAGGGTAATTCAGTGTAACAAACCGCATCAAGTACATAGAAAGGCTGTCAAATAAAATAAACCACTAATAAATTAAATTACTTTCTGTTTTCAGGAAGTGGGGGGAATGCCAGTCATTTTTAATTTAAAACAAAGTATGTCTTAATTTTTCTTTCTGCCTTTAGCAGGCACCCCCGCAAAAAAGCCGGTCCCACTCATTCAAAGCACGCATGACACTCGATTCCTCTCTCCTTGTCTGGTGAAGGCTTCCCCTTTCCTGAGTTAATGAGGCACTAATCCTCCCTTGAGCTGTAAAATTCATTTTCTCGGTGGTTGGGGGGTGGAGAGAGCCGGCGTGCTCTGGCCCCTTCCCACTGCTGCTGGTGCGTGTCCTCCTGCCACCTCCAGCCGCTGAGCGAAGGACCAAGGCACAGGTAATGCGATGGCAGTAATTACTGCCGCTTCGCTACTTTGCCCCCTGTTCCCATCAGGTTTCCCCCTTTCATTGTCTGTCATGTCAACTGTCACCAAATGCTCCCTGCTCCTGGGGAGAAAAGCTTCGCGTGGCAGAGCTTCTCCTCATCGTTTATGCCGCTGTGATGGACATGGCCTGAAGAGATGCAGAGATTCAGTGTTTCTCAGGAAAACCTCATCCTCTGCCCAGAGGTGCTATATGGCATGCTGCATTTTCAAAACACAAGTCAATATACATGGGAAGAAGATTAAGGCCTCAGCTCCCAGGATGGCATGGTCACATAACCTCTCACTAGCACAAGTCCAACATGTGCCGGGTTTGAGCCGCCCGTTACTGGGGGTCAGACCGGTGACATGAAAACCCCAGCACAGCCTTGCAGCAAGATGGGACTCAACCACCTACACACAAGGTGAAAGCGCTGCTGGGAAACCTTCTCATGGGACATGCTGGAGGGCAAAAATTCCTAAAGGGTGTGAATATGACAGGGCTGGCTCATGAACAGAACGCCCAGCACAGACAAGCAAGACAGTAATACCACCTCTGGCCCAGAAAGCTGCTGCAGCACCCCAGCATCACCCCGGCATCACCCCGGTGCGGGTCCTGCACTCGCCCCTGCACAGTGCTCCCGGCCACAGGCAGATGGGAGCGAGGGCAACTGCAGATTCGTCAGTGTTGGGACCACACACCCATTTCTGTGTAATGGAGGAGGGTCTGCTCTCAGTTACCTCCATGGAAATCCTCTTGGCACAATGGAGCCACACTGGACTTACACCGAGATCCAAATCTGACCCAGAGTAGCAGCCGTTAAAAAAAAATCAATAAATAATCCATTCAGATGGCTATCCAGTCCCTGCCTCGTCAGGGGTTACCAAGCCACAGCATTAACTGCAGTTGAAGCTCTGCAATTACCTGCTACATGCACAGCGGGACCGGCAGCAGGTCAGCCCGGCAGCGCAGCGGCTGTAATGCCGACTGCAGAGCAGCTCCCACTGCAGCCTGCTCGGAGCGTACGGCACTGCTCACATCTAACCGGTGATGCTGTAAACCAGCGGACGGGGCAGACCTTTCCTCTCTCCTTCTGCATTTACTGCAGGACAACCTGCCCTTTCTGGCACAAGACGAGCGGCGGTGGTGTCAGACCAGTGCGGACGCCCAGGCGTAGCCCCGCTCCCACCAGCCCGCCTGCCCCAGCTCCACACAAGTGCTGCCTGGCGCGCAGTTTGCTCCGCAGCCTCGCGCAGCCCCGGCAAGCTGGCAGGATTCGGCCAAGTGGGATTAAGTCACAGCCAAAGCCCAGATTAACCCTAGCCTTGGGTTTGCAAGAAGGAAAATGTAATCCAGCTCCTGGCAAATCAGAGAGCAGAGCTAGCTGTTCAGGGATAAATCCGGCAAGGTTCTTCACCTGCTCCAGCAGCTGAGCTCCTCTGAATGTGCTCCCTGATGTTTATTACTTACCTACAAAAGGCATATTCTGTAACTGGCCAATGCTGCCTGCAGATTAATATTTTGCAGATGAAATGTGCTTCAAACACTATTTTCATGGCAGACTGACAATTTCATGCTTTTCAGGATTTCGTCTTATTGGACCTTCCCTGTGAAGTGTGGAAGGTACCTTCCCATGGGAGGATAAACCCGCTATCTCATTACTGGTCCATGTAGCTGATAGAGCTTCTGGTTTCATCTCTTTTCCCTAGACGCGTCCCTCCTTGCTAAGCATCACACTAACACAGTTTCTTCTGCCGCCTGTTACTGAGCCTTTTTTCATACAGGCAAATGCAGGCATAGACTTGCTGCCAACTGAAGATCCACCTTCACGTGTGCAGGTCCAAAAGGTGCGGGCTGCCCCAAAAGGGTCTGGGTCCCAGCTGGGGGGCCAGGAGGAGGGGGAAGACCACGGACACTAGGTCCGCAGGGAGGATGGTGCAGCCAGCGCTGCAGCACCAGAGCGGGAGTGTGTGCTGCCCAGCAGACCTGCCCGCCGGAGCCGCGTCTAGCTTCTCAATGACTGCTCCGTCGTGGAGGAGGCTGCTGGCACACCGCAGGGCGCCAGCATCGGCACCAGCAGGCACTCAGTGCACGCCTGCAGCTGCAGGAGTCGGAGGTGGAGGGCGAGAAGGTG